GCCTTCGGCTCAGGTCATGATCCCAGGGTCCTGGGATCGAGCCCCGCATCGGGCTCTCTGCTCAGCGGGGAGCCTGCTTCCTCCTCTCTCTGACTGCTTCTCTGCCTACTTGTAATCTCTGTCTGTCAAATAAATAAATAAAATCTTTTAAAAAAAATAATAATAATAAGTAAAAATAATATCTAGGGACTTCACTGTGTGAGCCGCAGTAAGTCACGTGTACTGTTGGAATATCAAATTCTAGTGCCCCCAGCAGCAGATCATAATCCCAGCAGTAGGCGTCAGGTGCTTTGTCAAGCCGAAAAGCATCGCTTGTTAACTCAGAGAACCCCTCAGGCACTTGGGGATACAACCGTGGAGAAAACAGAAGGGAGTCCCGCCTTGCCTGATGGGGAGCTTACGATCAGCACAAAAACAGGCGTGCGGTCCGGGCTCAGCATACTCTCGGCTGCGGACCACACACGGCCCGCCTCCTGCTTCGATAAGACCCGTTTCACGGAAACACGGCCACACCGATCTGTCGGGCTCTGCGCTCCGCTGGCCTCCACACCACCCGGAGCTGTAGACGTGAGCGGTTGCCCCGACCGCACGGCCTGTAGGGCCGGAGGTCTTCGCTGTTGGGCCCGTTACGGAAGGACTCCGCCGCGCCGTCGCGTAGGACGTTGGACGGTGAGAGAGTTCAGCAGGCTGGAGGGACGGAGCCAGCAAGGACTGCGGTGTGCGCACGTGCCTGATGGGCCCTGACGGTAGAACAGCAAGACTCCGGGTCCCCCGTGTGCCAGACATCGCCGGAGGGACCTCAGCTGCCGTGATCACGGCATCACTGTGTGCTCCCAGCACCGAGTGCCAGAGCAGGGGATCCCATGTTTAGGGGAAGACTGAGGACACACGCAGGAGAGAACGGAAGGCCCCATGCAGGCAGGCCGGGGAGAATGCCGGTGTCCGGCTGGAAGCATTATCCAGGCAAGGCTAATAAATACAGTTTTGTACCTGGGGCGGCTGAGGCTGACTGCTCCGAGGGCGCCCTGGTTGACTGGCGGGGTTCTTCAGGAGAACCACAAAAACCACGGGTCGATGTCGAGACTCTCTGAGGGTTTTTCCCTGGACCCAAGAGGAGGGTGCAATGCCCAGAGAGAAAAGGCCTCGTTTTTCCACGGAGTGGGACCAAAGTTAGCTGCCTGGGGCCATCCGTACGGAAGCAAGAGGCAGCGTTGCCCCTGCTCTGAGCGCTGGGGACTGGCCTCTGCCACATCGCTCTCCTCCTAGGCTCCCTGAGTGCCAAGGGCTGCACACGTGAGCCGAGGGGTTGCCGTGAGGCCTGCCGCACCCGGGCTGGCGCTGACTGACTGGTTCCCCTGCTACCTGCACCAGGCCTCATCCAAGGTCTTTGAAAGTCGGTGTCTGTGCTTTTAGTGGCCCTTTAAGGAGGAAGGGGAGGGTGTTTCTAATAAAACCTTATGCAAGCCATACACAGGAATCAAAGGAATTTGGGCTCCTTCCAGAATGCCCGTTTTCACGTTAGCTCAGCTGGTACTGCAGGTTTGAAGGCACGTTCTCATGCGTCGGCATGAAATCTGCGGTACGGTAATTGCTGAAGAGAATGGTGACAGACACGCACGGTCCTCTGCATTTCCGGAGGCGTCCGTTCCAGTTCGCACTGGCTTCAGGCAAGAATTTGGAAAGTTTCCTTCCCCATAATCCCCGTAATTTATTCTGTGCTTTGCCCTCAAGTCATGGCTATCTGCCAAAAAGCCATCTTAGTTGTGGGATTCCAGGTCCACGTAAAGCACGTCCCCAGAGAGCGAGGTGCGCGGAGACGCATGCCGGGGCACGCTCAGGCGCCCACAGTCGGAGCATCGATCACGTGTAGACACGTACGGTTTTAACTGCCCGAGGTTAAACGAAAATGCCTTAGCATCGTGGGCAGCTCTGACGAAAGGCCGTGGCTTTCGGATCCGGGCGCTTATTTTTATCCATGTGTGTGGACTTTTCCCACCGGAACAGTCATCGAGACAGGCGCTTTGGGCCTGCCTGATGTGTGTTCAGTCGGGCGGCTTCTCACTGCGCACCCCGGGTGTCGCTGACACCTGCTGAGTGTGGGCCACCCCTGGGGGCTGCCGATGGCTGCGTCACGGGCAGGGAATTCACTCGGCCTTCACGTCGGCCCTCCAGGCCGGGGCGCCTGTTCCCGTGGAGCCGTGGATGTGGGGCTGGAGAGACTTATCTCCCGCGTTCTGGATGCTCCTTTGGGGGTCGCAGTTGGTAAACGGCCCCAGGACGAGGGACGGCAGCTCAGGCGACTTCCACAGGTCTGCTTTGTACACGTAGTGTCACTCGTGACAGCAGAGTGAGCTAAAAATCCTAAGTGGACTTGACTGTTCAGATGATACTGTCTTCACTTGGGTTCATGCCCTTGACCACTACGTTGGTTCTCGGACTCTCTCGGGGTCAGCCGGCGGCGTGCCGGCGGCACGGTGGCTCTCAGAACTCACCAGGCTCAGCTCTTGGTGGACCTGGTGGCAGAGAGATGCCCATGACCGTCACAAAGTGGTCTTTCCCAGTCAGGGCTCCTGGAGAGCCATCCCTCGGATTCTCCCCAGGTAGGGCAGGAGGCGGATCACGTTTGCCACTCACGGCAGACCATAGAGTGTATCACCTTGAGAGGGCGGCCCGCGTAGATGTTTTTTATGTTTGTCGTTTACAGAATGATCATGTAAAGGGAGGTGGGAGTACAGCATGGGGTGTTGGTGTTGGAAGGGTCCGCACGTCAGTTGGGCCACACGAGAAAGTTGTGGTGGCAGTGGCCGCCCAAGCACATGGATGTACTTCGGGCCACAGAGCAGCGCGCTTCAAAATGGGTAAAACAGCCAATTGTGTTACATGGATTTTGCCATATGAAAAAAAATGAGTAATTTGCACTTTGGTCATATTCAACTCAGGTGTCTCTAAAGGACTTTGAATTTTATTGACAGTTCTTTATTTGTTTTAACTTTAAATTGCTTATTCTATGTAGAACAACTTATTTTTTTTTAAGAATTTTTTTTTTAAGATTTTTTATTTATTTCACACACACACAGAGATCACAAGTAGGCAGAGAGGCAGGCAGAGAGAGAGGGGGAAGCAGGCTCCCTGCTGAGCAGAGAGCCCGATGCGGGGCTCGATCCCAGGACTCTGAGATCATGACCTGAGCCAAAGGCAGAGGCTTTAATCCACTGAGCCACTCAGGCACCCCTAGAACATACTTTTTAATCATGCAATTTGGTACTGGGCGTGAGACTCAGTAGCTTCTTCTGTACATGCGAATCTTTAAATTGGAAAATTCCGGGGACACCTGGGTGGGTCTGTTGGTTAAGCGTCTGCCTTCAGCTCAGGTCATGATCCCAGGGTCCTGGGATCGAGCCCTGCATCAGGCTCCCTGCTCCGTGGGGAGTCTGCTTCTCTCCCTCTCTCTCTCTCTCTCTCAAATAAAGAAAAGAAGTCTTTAAAAATAAATGAATTGGAAAGTTCCAAAGTATGAGGCACCGAGTATCATGTGGGCCCCAAGATTGCTGGCAGAGGTAAAGGGTGAAACGCGGGCACTGTGAGGAGCCCGGGGGGGCCTCCTGCAGTGTCTCCAAGGACACCCACAGGATGAGAGCAGGTAGTTCCTTTCAGTTCTCAGTGAAATGCCGGGGATGTCACCAGGAGCTGTCACCTTTCTCCTGGCCTCATAAATCCTCTCTTATTTGATGCAAAATGAACTCCTACCGAGTTCAGCTGAATTCCACGCAGGCCGCTTAGGTGGGACCATGGACTGCCGCCGTGGCTGCAGGGGCTGGGTCGGGACCACCGTGGTGAGCGCTTGCACGCCACCCCTGTCCCCACAGCAGGAGCTCATCGAGAGCATCAGTCGCAAGCTGCAGGTGCTGCGGGAGGCCCGGGAGAGCCTGCTGGAGGACATGCAGGCCAACAGTGCACTTGGGGATGAGGTGGAGGCCATGGCCAAAGATGTCTGCAAACCCAACGAGTTCGACAAGTTCCGCATGTTCATCGGGGACCTGGACAAAGTAGTGAACCTTCTGCTGTCGCTGTCCGGCCGCCTGGCCCGTGTGGAAAATGCCCTCAATAATTTGGACGACAGCACTTCTCCTGGTGACCGGGTAGGTGCAGCGTGTCTGAGCCGGACGTTGGGGGGCCCGTGGGCAGGTCGTGTGTGGGGTGCCAGGAGTTCCCGCCGGGAAGCCTCGCGCAGTTCCTAGGCAGCGCGCCCGGGACTCTCCATCTCTTTCCGCAGAAATGCCCCTGACAGGCGCTGCCAGGGCGCACGGGGCTTTGGGCACCACTGTCACTGGACGGCAGGGCTGCCGTGCTGTTGGGGAACAACTGTGGCTTCTTGGTGACACCTTTCTATTCGCTCCCAGGGATCTTTCCTGATCACGGTCTTTCCCTTGGACATTATCTTTTCCGCTTGACCACGCGGAAGCGGAGCTCAGCAGCTCTGACAAATTACAAGCACTCGGTGGTCACGGAATTCACGGTCGTTGCTGCTTTTAACGGGAGTGCACACGGCAGTCTGGAGAGAACCAGCGGCCTTGTCTGCCTTTCCTCCCTTTCTTCAGGTGTGCAGCTTGGAGCATGTCTGTTAGCAGGTTTCTGTGTCCGTTTCTGACATGCAAGACACGGGAAGTCATGTTTGCTTTGCTGCCTTTCCTTCCTGGGTCAAATACCAGTAAAACATTGAGTTTGATTCTTCGGTAGGTCCTCAGATGGTCATCTTGAATATTGATAAGACACCTTAGCTTCTCTGAAAGGGAGGCAGAAGAGGCAGCCCTCTCCCTTACTCCCCGTGAGAGGGTGTCGGCCACGTAAATCTTCTGGAGTGTGGCTTTCAGACTGTTCTAGTTCTCGGCCTCGCTGAGTCATTACTAACCACCATTTGAACGTGCTATAGGAGCATTTAAACAACTGAGACCCGTGGGTGGTGTTCAGATTCCATGTTTCTGTCTTGCCCATCTTCTCCAGGTCTATCTAGAAACAGGAAAATAACATAAATAGGAAACAGATTTGTTTATATGTAATTGCAGTGTTCTCAGGTATTAATTTGTGGGAAAAGGTAGTGTGGTCTTTGCAGCTCAGCCCATTTTAATCCATCTTTCCCTCTCTGTGTGTGCAGCGGACAGAGACTTCCATTTAGAATTCAGGGATGATAGAGGTGCCTGGGGGTTTCAGTGGGTTAAGCTTCTGCCGTCGGCTCAGGTCATGATCCCAGGGTCCTGGGATCGAGCCCCAAGTCGGGCTCCCTGCTCCGTGGGGAGTCTGCTTCCCCCTCTGCCTCTGCTTGTGCTGTCTCAAATGAATAAAAAAAAGTCTTCTTTAAAAAAGTTGAGCAGATGCTAGAAAGAGTCACAGCACTAAGGACCATGGCCATGGTCCTCTCGGATACCAGGCTCTGTAGGGAGCGTGCATCAGCAGCCCTCACGGCATCGCAGGGGTCTCCTAAACACAGGGTCTCGTTGCCCTGGCCAGGTGCGGTGCAGTGCTCCAGTGTCCAGCAACCCCGCCAGCGGAGGAGAGCCTGTCAGGCAGCTGCAGCGTGGGGAAGCCAAGGTTTTCAGAGACGGACATGGTAAACATTTAGAAGACACGGAGGGAGGTTTTACAAGTCTCCTTCCATCTTTGCAGTTAGAAATTGAGTACGTGGGTCAATGTGAACACGTCGGGTCCTCCCCCGAAATCCGTGCAGCTTCCTGTCACCGGTCAGCCCAGATGGCGTTAGCAGCCCAAGCGGACCTCTAGAACCAGTTGACATCTGTTTTCCTTTGCAAAGGGACCAATTGCTTTGCCTCCCCTCTTTCCGTGAAAACTCCCCGAACATTAGCTTGACGTGGAGATGGAGGTGTCCCACAGGAGTGGGCGGGAGGCCTGCACGCAGTGGGGTCCGGGCTGCGTCCCAGCGCTGTCCCTGTGCCTGGGCATTTTGCAAAGCGTTGCCGTGTCCCAGACGCTCGTGCGCAGCTGTTGGGAGCGGTCCGTGGCCAAGACGCAAAGTGGCGGAAAACCGAAGGGGCTGTCCTGCTGGCTGGGGAGTTGAATCCCCGCCTCCCTCGGTGGACACTGGGAGACACTACGCAATGTACCCAGCGCTTCCCTTCTTAGTCTTCATTAATCTCGAAGGGGGTCGGGTTGGTTTGTGTGTGTTTCATAAGCACAGAGTGACTGTGAGGGCCACGTCTTGGGAATGGGCTTGTCTGTGCCCCCCAGGGAGTGTCCCCCATCGGCCTGTCTCTTCTGCCCGTCCTCGCTCCCTCACCGCATCCTTTGGCAAGTTTGCACAGAGGCTCCTCCTGCCGGAAGCGTGTAGGATCCTGCTCTGGGAGTTCTTTTTTTTTTTTTTTTTTTTTTTTTTTTTTTTTTTTTTAATATATATATTTTTTTAATTTTATTTTTTATAAACATATATTTTTATCCCCAGGGTACAGGTCTGTGAATCGCCAGGTGTACACACTTCACAGCACTCACCACAGCACTTACCCTCCCCAATGTCCATAACCCCACCCCCCCCCCCAACCCCCCTCCCCCCAGCAACCCTCAGTTTGTTTTGTGAGATTAAGAATCACTTATGGTTTGTCTCCCTCCCAATCCCATCTTGTTTCATTTACTCTTCTCCTACCCCCTTAACCCCCCATGTTGCATCTCCTCTCCCTCATATCAGGGAGATCATATGATAGTTGTCTTTCTCCGATTGGCTTATTTCGCTAAGCATGATACCCTCTAGTTCCATCCACGTTGTCTCAAATGGCAAGATGTCATTTCTTTTGATGGCTGCATAGTATTCCATTGTGTATATATACCACATGTTCTTTATCCATTCGTCTATTGATGGACATCTAGGTTCTTTCCATAGTTTGGCTATTGTAGACATTGCTGCTATAAACATTCGGGTGCACGTGCCCCTTCGGGTCACTACGTTTGTATCTTTAGGGTAAATACCCAGCAGTGCAATTGCTGGGTCATAGGGTAACTCTATTTTCAACATTTTGAGGAACCTCCATGCTGTTTCCCAGAGTGGCTGCACCAGCTTGCATTCCCACCAACAGTGTAGGAGGGTTCCCCTTTCTCCGCATCCTCGCCAGCATCTGTCATTTCCTGACTTGTTAATTTTAGCCATTCTGACTAGTGTGAGGTGATATCTCGTTGTGGTTTTGATTTGTATTTCCCTGATGCCGAGTGATATGGAGCACTTTTTCATGTGTCTGTTGGCCATCTGGAGGTCGTCTTTGCAGAAATGTTTGTTCATGTCTTCTGCCCATTTTTTGATTGGATTATTTGTTCTTTGGGTGTTGAGTTTGCTAAGTTCTTTATAGATTTTGAACACTAGCCCTTCATCTGATATGTCATTTGCAAATATCTTCTCCCATTCTGTCAGTTGTCTTTTGGTTTTGTTAGCTGTTTCCTTTGCTGTGCAAAAGCTTTTGATCTTGATAAAAATCCCAATAGTTCATTTTTGCCCTTGCTTCCCTTGCCTTTGGCGATGTTCCGAGGAAGATGTTGCTGCGGCTGAGGTCGAAGAGGTTGCTGCCTGTGTTCTCCTCAAGGATGTTGATGGATTCCTTTCTCACATTGAAGTCCTTCATCCATTTTGAGTCTATTTTCGTGTGTGGTATAAGGAAATGGTCTAATTTCATTTTTCTGCATGTGGCTGTCCAATTTTCCCAACACCATTTATTGAAGAGGCTGTCTTTTTTCCATTGGACATTCTTTCCTGCTTTGTCGAAGATTAGTTGACCATAGAGTTGAGGGTCTATTTCTGGGCTCTCTATTCTGTTCCATTGATCTATGTGTCTGTTTTTGTGCCAGGACCATGCTGTCTTGATGATGACAGCTTTGTAATAGAGCTTGAAGTCCGAAATTGTGATGCCACCACCTTTGGCTTTCTTTTTCAATATTCCTTTGGCTATTCGAGGTCTTTTCTGGTTCCATATATGCTCTGGGAGTTCTTAAGCATCTCCTCCTTTTGCCGACTTCCCCGTAGTCTTGTCCCAGACAGGCCTGTGGCCCACCTGGCATCCCTAAGTCCGTCACACCTCTCGAGCTTCTCAGGCTTCTGTAGTCGTCTGTGTCTGGACGGCCCTTCTCATCCCGGCTGTTTCTCTGAGCCGTTCAAGGCCACGGCCCGTGGGAAGAAGTGGAAGCGGGACAGGCCTGAGGGTGCTTACGGGCGGGCCAGGCCTGGGGCCGGCCGTGGCCTCCCAGAGCATTCGCCCCTGTCCCACGGTTCCCGATGTCCAGCCCCCAACCTGTGTGTCCCAGCCCCCGTGCGATCTCGGGTCGCTATCTCGGCCGTCCCAGCTCCCAGCCTCGCCGGCACTGCCGGGCTGTCGGCCGGAGCCCCGCTCCAGCCCCGCTCCTCAGCGGGTTCGTTTCTCTCTCTCCGCAGCAGTCACTGCTCGAGAAGCAGCGGATGCTCATCCAGCAGCACGAGGACGCCAAGGAGCTGAAGGAGAACCTGGACCGCCGGGAGCGCGTCGTGCTCGACATTCTGGCCAGCTACCTGAGCGAGGAGAGCCTAGCCGACTACGAGCACTTCGTGAAGATGAAGTCCGCGCTCATCATCGAGCAGCGGGAACTGGAGGACAAGATCCACCTGGGAGAGGAGCAGCTGAAGTGCCTGTTCGACAGCCTCCAGCCCGACAGAGCCAAGTAAGGGGAGCCCTCCCTGGCGGAGGGCGGAAGCTGGCGCCGGGCGCTCCGTTGCCGAGCAGGCGAGTAGGAACCCCGGCCTCTCTCTGGCTCCTGGAGCGCGACTCCTCCGGGAGCAAAACGGCTGTTAGGAAAGCAGTGACTGTGTGTGTGTTTGCGATGGTCTGTTTAATTCTTTGGTTCCCCTTTTGAATGTGCCGCAGAATGTCTCCCGTTAGCCGTCTCTCCTCTGCAAGTCACACGCGTGACGGCGGGCTCCAGCGGATGGCGACTTGCTGCAGCCCAGACTGTGGGCTCCTGCCGCGCGGCGCATGCAAGGGGTCGTTTCCACGGGTGGGTCTGCCCTTCCTCCCATCTTCCCGTCCTGAAGCAGCCGCTCGGGAAGCTGAGCGGGTCCGTAAGGTGCATGAGAGGGGAGACCCTGGCGCACGTCTTGTCCTGTGATTCGTCCAAAGCATGGGCTGCCGCGTGTCCTCCCTGTTCGTCAGGTGGTGTGGACCATTCATTGTCCTCCTTCCTTGTCCCCCAGCAGAAACTGTGATGACCTGTGATGGTCATGCATTAACATTTTGGAAAGCTGAATCATTTCCAAGTGGTTAAAAACCAACCGTGGAATGAGTCACCGACGTGTTGGGTTCACTCATTCTGAAATCGCCACTTAGAGAAATAGCGTGCATGCTGTAAAACACAGGCACAGAGCAGATAGTTTCAGTCCTGGTATCCCGGTTCCAGGGCTGTTTCCTTGCAAAGAGAAATTACTCGGTTCATAGTATGTCCCGTAGTGTGATGTGCTTGCTAGACGTCTGTTTCCTGAGACCAGCAGCAGATTTCTAAAGCTCCTTTTTCCCCAGAATGCTTACTTTGTGTGCACTGGGTCATTAACCATCATTGGCTTCTTGTCCCCTTTTGCCTCTTCAAATCCACTACCATGCCGTGGAAGGGTTCCGTTCCATTTACGTGTAAGAACCTTTTCTCTGGCCTTTCAGAGGCCGTATGGACTCTACGAGCCCTAAACCTGACCTTTGGCCACAGATTCTATAGGTTCTGTGCCCTTTTCATTGGTTGAAATGACAAGATTCTAAGGAGAGTCTGTTCACTCACAAAACACTGTCGTGCTGTCCATTTCCGGTGGAGAAGTCACAGACTGGGAGAAAAGATTTGCCGGTCACGTCTGTGACAGAGGATCTGTATCTGGACCGTGCAGAGAACTTTCAGAGCTCCACAGCAAGAGAGCACACAGCCCTGTTAGCACATGGTCAAGAGACATAACTTGGCGCTCCACTGAACAGGGCACAGGTGTGCGTGGCAAACCGGCACGTGGGACGATGTCTGCCCGCCGACGGCTTGGTTGTCACCGGTGTTTTATCTGTGTCGCTGCAGACCCGCTGTGCTGCTTCCCAGACACTTCTCTGATTCGGTGCCTGGTAAATGGCAGGGGAACCCCACGATGACTTCCTGTCGGGGTGATATCCAGATACTTGTTTGATAAAGGGATCATCTGGATCCTCGTTTCCCCGTATTGCCGTGGAAGTTTTCCAACACGTGGGGGGACGTCCTTTTGTCAGCAGAGTGTTCCCTTCCCGAAACACACGTGCACACGAGTGTCTTAACTGACCGATGTCTGTACTTCCTGCGCCGGGGGGTGAGCTGGACTCCTGAGCCACGGCACGGATGTCTGTGCGCCCCCGCCCAGAGGGGTCCAAACTGGCAGGCTTCAGTCATGCAGGCAATAAACACTCTTCCTGGCAACCCAGCCATGCCAAAGAGACAAATGCCTTTTCACAAGTTGTCATTCCTATCGAATTAAGCTACTTCTGACTTGAAGAATGCCCATTCTGCCAATGAAGTGTCCTCCTTGCCTCCTGGTGTAGTCCCTTGCTGTGAAAACTGGTCACTTCAGAAAAGGTGAGGCCGGCTGTCCCCGGACCTCCGTCACTCTCCCCCACGGGGACAACCGCAGTAATTTGACTGTATTTTGCTTTTAATTTACACAAAGCTTTTATCTGTGATCCTTTCCCCTCAAACACAGTATTGTGAACCATTTTGATGATAAATATGTAAAATGTGAATAATGGAATTTATGTGTCTGTGTGCAGCCTTTTGAGGTCTCTGGAGGACGTTCTCTTATACGTAGCAATATGGAACGCTCCACTGCGCTTTCAGTAAAGCACATGTCACCGTTACGGTCCTGTGCCCTTCCTGTTGGCCTCTTAGACGTCTGGTTAGCGGGGGCCCAAAGAGTCAAGTGAGTCGGTGGACATAACTTTGTAAATACCGTGTTATTGCATACAAGAACAGCCTGGTGCTAACGTTCTGCCCTTGGCGTTCGTAGGTGGTGGCTGACTCCTCCCCCCGCCATAGCTCGGCTCTGCAATGCCCTGTACTTCGGGATTTCAGTCAGGGCGGCTGCCCGTGGCTTTTATCCTGCTTCCACTGTGGAAAATGTGTACGTACTTCATGCTCGACACTCACCACCTCTCAACACATCGTCCTGCTTGACTTTAACAAAATAAATGGTGTCTTGGAGTGAATGGAGCATGTCTCCGATTTACCCGTGTTACGTCTTTTCTAAGTAACCAGACCGTCCTCACCGTAGGTCAGATTCTGATAAACTGGGGGGCTGGGGATTTGTCTGTGTGTCACCATGTGCCAGTCTACCCCAGGCTCATGGGTTTGCAGTCAGGACAAAGCCGGGGACCCAGGCTGGATCAGTTAGCTGTTGCCGCCGTGGTGCTGTGAAACAAGCAGCTGTGAAAATTCATTGTGCGCAAATGCCTCTGTGGAGCTCATGAATTCGTAGATCCTGATGCCCTCTGCTCCGCGTGTCTGGCATCGTGCTCCTGGGACCGGCAGTCTGGCCTGGGGACGTCCAGGGCAGGTGCGTGAGAGAACCAACGTGGTCGCAAAGCTGTTTTCCCATGTCCCTGGTTCTGTCACGCCTGCGTACCTTCTGCCGTCAAAACGAGTCCCCCAGCTGAACGCAGAGTGGTGGGGGGGGGGGGGTCTGTCCCCTTGCTTGGGCGGGAGGAAACGTGAAGTCATGTGCCAGAGGGTGGGTACAGGGTGTGACGAATCAGCGCTGGCCTCCATGTCCCACACCAGCATCCTGGACCCAGAAGTCAGGTTCCCCGAGCAAGGCCCCCTCTGCCGCTCCCTAGCCTGGTGGCCATGGGCAAAGCACTTGGTCTCTCCGAGCCTCTGAGGGTCGCCCTCTGGACCTGGGGAAGGGCTGCGGAGCTCAGCCGAGCTCACCCATGCTCACGTGCTGCGGCGTCGGGCCGGGTTCAGGAGAGTGCTATGGCAGTGCGGCTCTGGGGTGGCCCACGTCCCATCCGCACGCAGCGGGGAGCGCCTTCCCGGAGCGGGCCTGCCAGAGCGGAGCACTTCCTCTGCTTGGGAGGATCAGAAAGGTTCTGTTCTGGAGAAGCTTTGTGGGACCTGCAGGCTAGACGGGAAGGGGAGGGTCTGTGGAATAGAGTTAGAGTGCGTATTTACTGAGAATGGGAGAAAATGCACACAAGTTCGGCTTTAATAAAAGTGGATGAATACCGCCCATTTGTTTTCACTTCTGGCCTTTGCCCGGGCTACTTCAGGTCGTGGCGTCTGAGTTCTGAACTGGTCAGGAGAGGAGTAACGGAACAATTCAGATGCGGCCGTGGGTTGCCGCTCTGCTGCAAGGCTGCGATCCTGCCGCCCTGTCCCGTGACCCACGGGTAACGAAGTGTGCGTTTCTGTCCTGAGCCCTTGCGTCCTCAGGCTGGTGAACCACAGTGGCGACCGTGTGGTCTTTGCTGCAGGCCTGTCAGACTTCTTGAGGGGGAGCGCCCTGGGGTACCCCGACACACGGTCTGGGATGTGGGGACCCCAGATGTTCACTCCATTTTCAGACCTGTCTGCTGTTCTGTCGCACGTCTGTGCCCTACAAGACAGGCATTCTGGAAGCATGTTTTCTGCATCTCCCGTTAAAGAGAAGAAAGACAACGCGCGACGCTCGGTGGGTTCATTCTTGTACGTGGTGCGTCTTGAGTCAACGTGATCCAGTGAGCATCCCACGAAGCCCAAACTGTGTTGTCCTAACCTCCTGCCTCTCCACCAGATGCCCCAAACACTCGTGGCCATGCCAGCACCACCTGAGACAGGCAGGCGGAGAGGACAGAGATGGTAGTACAGCGCAGGGACAGAGTCTTTCGCAGATTCAATCAAAGCGTAGAGCTCCGCTGGCTTCCATCTGGTCATCAGATTCAAAGTCGAGGCCTGCCCGATAGCGTTCTCCAACCTGGCGAAGACCATGTCAAGGGGTGTTTACGCGGCTGACGGCACCAGGAGGGGGACACAGCTGCCGTCCCTGGAGGGCTTTAAGAAGGATGCAGTTTGCATCCCAAAGTGAGGGAAGTTCTTTAAAAACAAGGCCACGCCTTACCAGTTGGGCTCCACATGGGGCCCAGTCAAAAGAAAATAAGAGGACACAAAAATAAAAAAGTAAAACAAACCCTTGGTTGTTAGGTCCCAACACCAGGACACATTGTTTTTTTCATTGATCAGCACACCTCTTTGCTTTCTTTCCTTCGTCACGTAGAAGGGGGGCCAAGACGATGAAAGATAGAGGGGCTACTCAAAACAGGCAACCCAGCAAACATGCTTGACCCTAGGACGCATCCCGGGCAGCAAAAGGACATCCACCGGCCTCACGGTGACGTCTGAGCAAGTCCCGAGATCGTAGTGTTGTGTGCACAGTGATTTCTGGCTTCTGATAGTCGCACTGTGGCTATGTAAGCGGTTTGCATTTGGCAAGTTTGGGTGGAGGCCGGAGAGGTCTGTGCCGCTCGCAACGTTTTCCTAGGTCTGAAGCTGTTTTAGGATGGAAAAGTTCGATTTTTTTTTTTTTTCAGTTTTCAAGGTTTTCCTTTTGCTCCTCCAGAGGCCCTGCCTCGTATCTCTCTAGTCCTCTCATGTCCTCTGGGGAGAGGAGCTCCCGTCTGTGCAGTTCCAGTGTGTTGTCCTGAACAGGATCCAGCGGAATGAGTCTAGGGGCTCACGCTTGCGTGTGCTTCTG